GATTCCCAGGGCCACGCGCCGTGTACGGTTTCCTCCCGGTGACATTTAGCCGAGAGTTTCTCCTCTGGCCCTGACAGATGGGGGATGCTCAGCTGCTGCCAGGCTGAGCGGATCCGTATTAATTTTTCATTTGCTGGCCGGGTGCTGGAGCAGCACAGATGGGCGATGGCCCGTTGGTCACTCCCGGTCCGTGCTGGTGTCCAGCTGCTCTGCACTTGATATATGAGTGGACAGAGCGGACGCTGGAGCCTTCGGCTCGCGCCGGCTGGGGTGGAGGTTGTTTCTCCTGGGGGTGGGGAGAGGCCACGGTGGGAGTTAGCCTAAATCCTTTTAACATATGTACATTGACCCCGCTCTGATTGCAATACCATCCTTCGCTTTGTCGGCAGTGGTTAGGAGGGGACTGGGAATGTGGCGGACAAAGAAATGCAGCTCCCCGATGGATTTGCCAAACAACCCAAATTTGCCTTGGAAAACTTGCTGTTTGTGCTCCGGCAGCGTGCCAAGAAATGGGCTGCCCGGCCTCGGCGTGCAGGGGAGGGCTGGGGGTTAAATGCCTCACCCTTTGCAAATGCTGCCAGGTATCGCGCTGGGGTTCAATCACGTCTAAGTGTGGCTTTGTGCTCTCCTTGCCCTGGTCCTGGCGTCGGGACCAGCTCCGCCACCGGCATAAATCGCTGCTGGGCTGTTTTGCCTATTCTGGACCCGTCACATAGGGATTTACTAGAGGTGACTGGTATCTAGCTTAAATGTGCGTATCGACGTGCAGAAGTGTTGCTATAATCTACAGGATTAATGCTAAAACATTTCAGAAACGTTGCCACGACCCTCAGGTCCACAGTGAGTGTACATGGAGCATCTGCATGGGTTAGAACTCATTTATCGCTGTGATTTGACTCGCCGTTGCACTTTGCCTACGCTGCTCTTAGGAGGCAGGGACAAACCCCAGCCCAGGACGAGCTCCTGGCAGGAGAAGCTGAAAAGATCATTAGGAAATGGCTCATTTAAAAGAAGAAAAAGTCATTCCCCTGCCTCGCGTTCGCTGGGCAGACTCGGACCTAGCTTGCCTTTAGCCTTGAAGACATCGCTGAGGCTGCTGCAAGACCTGGAGCATCTCTGCAGGGATGCCGACACCTCTCAGTGCCACGAATCCGGCTGCAGCAGCAAAGCTTTGGTGCAGGTGTTGCGTTGATGTGAAGCTGCATTCGTGCTGCGGGTGCTTGGTCCAGGTCCTTGGTAGCAAAATCCAGCACAGAAGATCCATCACACGCAACATGCCCGATGTGAGAAGGCTTGGTGAAGGCTGGGCTGTGAAACAGGACTCCCAGCACCCAGGTTTGCTCCCTCTGGGCCCAGTGTTTGCACATCACAGAATTAAAAACCTGGGAACTCGGGCAGCCCCTGGAGCCAGGCCGGGCTCTCCCTGCCCGGGAAGCCGATCGCATCGGGCCGCGCTCCTGCGGGTAATTGCAGGGATAATGAAACTGCTCAACGTCTTTTGAAACAAGCATAAATCCTCCAAGCTGGCAGCTCTGCAGAAAAAGGAGCCGTCAGCGTTTACACCAGCAAGACAGCGGAGGTACGAGCAAAGCATCGCGGAGGCGGCGCATCGGCTCCTTCCTGCACCGGGAGCCGAGGGGCGGCAGCGTCTGCTCCCTCCCAGGGGCTGGGATGCTTCTGCAGAGCAGCAAGGGCTGCCCAGGGGATGTCGAGACACATCCAGCCTTGCACTGCGGGGCTGCGGATTGCCGCTGTGCCGCAGGGTGCTGCATCTGGGGTGACCTCCTGCGGGGTCCTGGGTGCTCGGCTGGATTTAAACCCTGCCTTTAGTGCATCCTCAGCTTGAGCGTGTTTGCTCGTGCATGCTCCCTCTCCTTCTTTGCCCTCCAAATCCATTCCAACCCTGTCCTGGTCCCCCTAGGGATGCTGGATTGCTGCAGCCATCAGCATATGCTGCCTGCGGGTCATCTCTGTGTTTGCCTGCGTAGGTTTTGCCGTGACTTTTTATGCACCAGCGTTAGCGATGGGTACGTGTCCATGTGGCTGGGACACGAGTGTATAAAATACGGGTACGTGCGTGTGCGCGTACGTGGTGTGTTCTGCGTGCAAGGGCTGCGGATGAGATAGTTGCGCTCCAACAAAGACGGCCCGCGCCGGGATGCCGCTCGGGGCAGCCCTGTGTCCCCGCGGCCTCGTGGCTGCGCCTGAAATCCCCCGGCCAGAGCTTTTCCCGGGGGGGCGGCGCGGGAGGGCGCGCACCCCATCCCCGGCGCTCAGCCGTTGGACACCCTCGGCGGTGCGCCCCGCTAAAAAGCCCCCGAACAAAAGCCCAGTTCAGAGTCGCTGCTGAATAGATTAACAAGATTTCCATAATTAGGGCGGGCGGGAACAATAGGATTCTCCCCTGCCCAGCCCCCCCTGCCCGCCTTTGTCTTGCGCTGGGGATAATGGGCAGCAGCGAGGGTGGGAACCGGCCCGGCCATTTGGTCACTGGACAGTAATTTTCTCACACTGCCAAGGGGAGCATTGAAACATCTGTCCCGCTCCGCCGCCTCATTCACGTCCCATTTCAAACCCCTGACAACTTCTCCCTGCCCGCCAGCCCTCCCCCTCCGCCTGGTTTTCCAGGGTGCGACCGGGCTTTCCCGGGGTTTTGGCTTTTCTTCTCCCAAATGCATCTCGTCTTTAAATGGGTCGGATGGAGGCGGGTTTGCTTCTCAGTCCTTTCGTGCTGGGGTTTGCTCTGGCGGCAGCAGTGCTCGTGCAAACCCATGCCTGCGCATCCATTTTCTTGCAGCGGCTTTGCTGTTTTGCACGGGAGCCGGTGCTGGGGGACGGGGCTGGAGGAGCAGCCCTGGCCCGCGCCGTGATGGCGGGCATCCAGCTGCGCACCGCGGGCTGGCCGCCCTCTTGCCAGCCCTTAGAAAAGCGATGCCCAGCACCGTGCTTGTTTGTAGACGCCAGTTTTTAGCTGGTGCCGGAGCAGTGGGCTTCGGGCGCTGTTGATCCCTGCGGTGGGGAGAAGCTGGGCGCTCCATGGCAAAGTGAGTGTTGTTGTGTGAGGTTTGTGTCTGCCCTCGGGGCGTGTTGTCCTTGGAAATCGAGCCGCTGGATTGCAGGAGAAGGAAGACGTAGATTTGCTCGGCTGCCAGGTCCTCCCTTCTCCAGGAGGGACGGGTGAGGGCGTCCGTGCCGCTGTTGAGCGCGGCTGCTCCTCGGCTTCGGAAGAAACAGCCTGGAAATGCCACCGGGATTTGCCGGTCGTGGTGGTGGCACCTCGTTCCTGCCGAGCTGCTCTGCCCCGAGCCCCACGCGCTGGCGGCTGCTGGAGCAATCGGCCTCCCCCCCGCGCCTCCCGAAGCCCTCTCCTCCCGCCCTGAGCCCTGGGCGTCTGCGGTCTGTATGGTTTTGGGGGGCAGAAGTAGCTGTGGGCTGCACCTGCAGCACACCGTGCACCGCTGCCCAGGGCTCTGGGCAAGGATGGAAACTCCTGCTGCTTGAGTTCCTTCAAGAAACAAAAAAAAAATCTAAAAAATGCCTTATTCCTCATGGAGCCATCCAAACCCTCATTTTTCCCTTTAATAGCGTCTCAATGCCTTTCGCTCGCAGGCGAGGAAGGGCCCCCTCCGTCCTTCTTCGCCCAGCCAGACCCCGCGTACGGCTCGGGGAAAATCGGCTGCCGGAGCGCAGGTTTATTGGGCAGCGTTCTCCTTTGTGTTCATTAAAAAGGGCCCTTTCCCGCAGGCTGTCGTGGCTGTCTCTGCCTGACCGTTTATCTATCGGGAGCACTTTAATAATGGCCAGTAAATGCAGGGAGGCTGCCGGATAAAGCCACGCAAAGCCGCCATTTAAATCCTCTTGTGTAAGTTTGATATCCAAAGTGGAAGTACAAATGCCATATAAGTCAATTAAAGCATTAAGTAATCTAATTGTGCTGTGGTCACAAAGTGGCTTAAAGGCTGAGTGAGGCGAGTGAATGGTGCACGAGGTCCCCTCCCGGCTCCTGCTTCAGCCGTCCCCGTCCCCGGGGGCCTTGGGCAGAAGGGCAGGGGGGACTGGGGGGACTGGGGGGACCCGCGCCGGGGGTGGTGATGGGCGATGCTGCCTCCACCTTCTGCGGGTGCTCGGGGCCCGCCTGGTATTTGGGGGCCGGAGCAAGAGAGGGTGACACCGACCTCGGCATCGCCACAGTGCGGAGCCGTGGGGTGACAGGCACACGGGGGGCACGGCGATGCCGGGCAGTGGGGTGAGCAGAGCCCCCTGGGCTGTGTTTTCCTCCCACCGCCGTTGCAGCCCCAGTGCAGGGGTGGGTCCGGACACGGCCGTGGCGTTTCTGTCTTTCCCTTTGCCAGAGAAATTGTTCTGGTGGGGCCGCGCGCAGCCCATCGGTACCGGCACCGATGGCGGGGCTGAGCACAGGGATGCGGGCAAAGGCTTGCGCTCAGCACGGGGCAAGGAGCTGCTCCCACCTGCAGGCGTGTGTGTGTGCGCAGTGCAGCCCCTATTCCCCAACCACCTGGCTACATGCTATTAATGTTATATGCGTTATAATATTATAATTACACTCTGCGCCGGGTGGGGCATCCCAGGGCAGGGTTGTCTGCTGCGATGTGTGCCGATGCTTGGCACTGCGGCACTGCCGACAGCACAGGGGGCTGCACCATTTGTATCGCCTTGGCTAGCCATGGTTTGATAACCTGAATGTTTTATGCTGTTGGATGATGTGACCATCAAAACTTGAGCTGGCTGGGTTCTCTGAAGCGCTCGTGGTTGCTGTTCCTGGGGGATATTTGCACTGGTGGTGGTCAAGAGGATTTTTGCCTGGAAAATTTAGAGCATGAGCGTAATTGAGAGCACGCGTTTGCAGTCAGGAGGTGCCATGTGGTCCAGAAGGACAGGGCAGCGTGGTGGTTTTTGGAGATCCCCGGTGCAGAGAGGTGCTTATCCCTGTTTCGCTGCTCTCACCCCGTGCTGTCCTGTCCCCCGCAGGTCTGTCGAAGATGCACTGGTCACCAGAGCATGCCCAGTCCCTGAACCAGTGGCCGGAGCAGCACCTCGACGTCTCCTCCACCACCTCCTCGCCAGCCCACAAGTCCGATCTCTACCCCAGCACCCGCCAGCGCTTCAACTACGCCTGGGCCAACGACGACATCTCCGCGCTCACCGCCTCCAACCTCCTCAAGAGGTACGCCGAGAAGTACTCGGGGGTGCTGGACGCGCCCTACGAGCGCCCGGCGCTGAGCGGCTACGGGGATGGCGCCTTCGGGCCGGTTAACGGGCAGAAGGGGGACGGGGAGCCCTGGCCGGTGGCGCACGGCTCCGACGGCGCCTACCCCCTGACCCCCATCCACGATGGCCTCCCCGGCGCCAAGGGGGTGGTGCCGCCCGACGGCCCCCCCA